TTTCCGTCTTGTTTCAGTAGCCCATTTCTCATCAAGGTGCTCTGGTTCCCCAGCAGACGTCTGGCCGGGTGACGTCTGAGCCGGCATGTCATGCTTATTAATGTCTCTCATGGTATGAGGTAGGCCATAGAGCTCCAAATGGTCTTGCCTAAGGTAACCCACCCTGCATTGCTCAATTTTTTTTGTTGTTTGCGCCGGCCTGGATTCGAACCCGGGTTGAAGTGTTGAGGCTTAGCAAGTAACTTTGAGAACAATAGGTCAGAGTAGAGGTCACGAAAACATCTTGTGTAATATCCTGCAAAAGTTGACATCATAAGGGGTCTATTGGGTGGCGTCATATTTCCACCCATTTCTGGGAAATAGCCCACCCTTTTTCTGGCAAAGATAGTGTGGTATAAAAGCTTATGGTTTTCTAACTGCGGGAGTTCGGTTTTGCAAGGTCTGATCTGTCAGTTGAAGCTGTACTGACTGAACTCAATTAAAACTCCCTCTGGCTGGCCAAGGATTGTCTCTTCTCTTTTTATCTTGATAAGTGGACTTTTTCAGCACCTACAGTAGTTTGGCTGAGAAAACAATTCATGTCATTTAAATGTATAGAGGCCAAATATTAGCTAATGTAATGTTCTTTTACGGCAGTATGAGATCTTTTTGACAAAGAGCTGTTTTATAAACCAGAAACATTATTTAGAAGTAGGTCCTAGCTGTTAGCCTAGCCTTCTGCTCTGTCTGTAGTTACAGCTAATAAAGTACTAACTACTTATTACTATTTGACAGAACATTACTTCAAAAGTAAAGCATCTTCCTTTGCATTAGAAAGACTATTTATGTCCATTTTGTGTTGTTTGGGAGGTTTTTATGATTTGTTGTCTGCTTTTACAGCACCTTATAAAGGGCCTGGTGATTCCCAGCAAAGTCCGAACAAACCAGGAAGGATGAACAATAAAGAACATCTTTAGGTTCTTCTTCAACCTGTAGGACAAAAAGAGAGACAGAAGAGGAGTCTGTTATTTCAAGAGATTTATGATTACTTTCATCCTCATTTTTACTTGACTGAACTGACAGGTATAATAGATTTGAGAAAAACACCACTAGCAATAAACTATAAAGACTGTGTACAGCATGTTTTTTCATTGGGTAAGTCCAAAACTTTCAAGGTGACCTGCATAACTGTGTAGTAGTTAATGCTGTCACCATGTTTTATTTTCCCCCACAAGTCATCYTTAGATAAAACCTGGTGTGAAAATTAAATTGCAATCCTGACAGTCCTTCCCTTTAAATATTTCAGACTGATTATTTAATCTTTTTTTCAAAAACAACCCAACAGTCATGACTTTGACATAAAGAATGTTAAATCTGCTTTGTATTTGTTGTGAGGTTGCTTGTGTAAATATTACCTTCGGTCTATCATCTGATAGCACCTTTTCATCCAGGTAAAACCAGGCATTCTTCTACGAGGAGTGGCGCCATTGAGGTACACAATCATATAATCCTCTGCAACCATTAGCTCCAAAGTACTAATTACATATCTAGGGAGACGGAACAGATAAAACGTTCTTTTATAATAATTAGTTTGAAGTGATAAAACTGCCCAACCATTATTAACCATTGTGGTGTTACATTACCTGTTATCTTGGGAATTTAATCCTTCAAAGCATTTAAGGTTCACATTTGGTGTACTGTTTGGATCTGGACTGGATTTTATTCTAATATTATTAATATTAATGCAAACAGTTCTTTTTTAAATTACTCTATTGGTTCGTGATATATTTTGCTAACACAAGACAAATGAATACATCTATACACACAAATGCTAACACAAGAAGTTTAATTATCACCCACAGATGATAAAAAGAGCAAAGCCTGTCCAAGCTAATTTTACCATAGGGGCAATAGAGAAGCTTCACTTACAGAAAAAGGTTTTCCATTACATAGTTATAGTTGTCACAGTCGCTGTCTGGCAGGAAACACGCTGCGAATACGATGATAGCATTTTTTTCAGCATAGTAACCTGAACATGTAAAACACAGAAAGAGGACAGCGTCATCGGGTGGAAGTTGTAAAGGCAAAGAGAACCTGAATGCAGWATGAGTTTAAGGCATTCGTGCCCATGTACCTCCGTGAGAGAKGACTCTTTTGTATGGCTCAATGCACTTCATATCAATGCGGTGCTCCTGCTCTCCAATCACTACGCTCCGCCACAGTCTTTCGTCTTCTTTTTTCTCTTCTGCCGGGCGACCTGCTGTGGCGCCGCCTGATGCAGCTCCCTCACCTAGATTAGACCCTTCTGAGTCTGCTGTTTGTGGCATTAATGAGAAGTTTAACAGAATGATGGAATCAAATAAACAAATCTGGACATACACATTTGTATTTTAAGGAGAAAGTAGTGGGGAGAGCAGCGCACAAGTTGGATTCGTACAAAAAGTGAATTACTATCGCTATCATTCTCAGTTTACTTTGCATCAAAAGAGCGAGTTGAAAGTGTCCATCACAATACACAGCACAGTCTTTATGTCCTCATATCTTATTGTATTGTGTTTGTTACGTTCTGTTGAATGTGTCTGTTTATTGAAACATTCAGGTGCTCTGTCTCCATGATGTGTGTCTTACCGTGTCCATTAAACTCCAGAGAATCGGTCTCGTCAGGCGTGTCAATCCCATCAACACTTACATCCAGGTCATCCCCAGTATCCAAGGCGTCGTCCTCTGTGTCCAGAGGATCTTCAGAAGCAAGGGACCCCTCACTGTGCTCCAATGACAGGTTAATTGGTGGCGCTGACAGCTTTCTCCTTTGATTTGATCCACCTGATGTATCTGCTGAAGATGGTGGGTCTGTTTAAAAAGACAGGGCAAGTGTACTCAATTTTCAATGTGTGGAGTATTGTCACAAAACAATATCCGTCAAATACAAGAGAACACGCACAAAAAAACCCCACAGGTAATACAAACAACAACAACAACAACAAAAAACATTTGCAACTTTCATGAGATGCTACTTTATGATGTAGGACATGGGATGTCCCAGGGACTATAAGAGTTAATGGGTGGAGGGCTGTTTTCCCCTTCATAAGATCTCCCAGGGCCAACTGGTTCTGTTTCAGGTGCCAGAACACGTTTGAGTCAATAACCATTAATATAAGATCAAGAAACTTGATATCTTGACCACTTTTGAGAGCCAAGGCCTCATCCTGGAACAGAAGCTCATTGATGAGTATCCACCGATTAAGTCATACTCATGGGGCRTGAGTCTAAGATAGAGGACTCGGCAACTCAAACCTTCATCATTAAACATGACTTCAATGGTGGGAAAAAAGCCCCTCTTGTGAGTGAGGTTGACTGACAGACTAGAAGTAGCTGTTTTCACCTCAGTGCTCGGTGTGTCTTCTTTATTAGTCTCCCAGAGTAGGTCTGGACTTTATTTCACTCTGGACTCAGTCTGTGTTAAAGGTGAGAAAGAAGATAACCTCAATCCTGATATTAGGCCGCAGCGTTCAAACACTGGTTTTTCCTAGAAAGAAAAAGGGTGTTGCTATGTTCCTGGTGCATTCCAACTTAAACTCCTCCAACAAACAAGGTGTGGCGGAGTTATTTATTTATTTATGTATTTTGGCCTGAGGTAACAGAGGAAGTTAAAAGCAGTTTTTAATAATCCAGGCCCTTAGGGCTCAGTGTCCTACTTGCTTAGAATGTTTTCCTGTTGAAACGAACCTAAAGCAAACTACTGGGTCAGGCTTCTGCAGAATTTGAAGACAACGTGCCGAGGTAATTTATTTCTTTGAAGCTTATGTGTTGAAGCAGGAACTGGTCTGAAACATGAAGGGCAGTGTGCCCTGAGGACCAGGGTTAGGAAACACTTAACTTCCTGCTGGTAGGATTGCAGCAGAGGTTCCCCCAGTTYCTTAATGTCTTGGAGCCTCAAGTCTGACAAACCAGAGGGCAGGTTTTAAATACAGGTGGTTCACTTCTTCATAGCCTCAACTGAAAAGTCTATTGCAGGGTATCAGAGGGAAGAGTTTCCAGTTTGGCTAAATATACAGTTTTTACACTTAATTGTGGCATGTCAAGTAAATAGAGGTCCCTCCCCTYCCCCACCCCACCCAAAAACAAACAAAAAAACAACATTAAAAATATGGAAAAAATGTAAACAGAGCAAACATTTAGCAAAAAATGACAAAAATACACAAAGTACAAAAAAATCTTAAAGGACAATAAGCCCACAACATTTTAGCTAATACAATAAACTGTTAACAGAACTTTATTATTATTTTTTGTCTTTGTAATGATTTTTTTTTTGAAAATCCTGTAAATATTATTGAGCATTATGGGGTTATGTTGCCATTTAAAATATTGCAGTTCTGAGTTAAATGTTTTCGTGTGCACCTTTCAGCAAGTGATTCCTCTGATAAAGTTTTTTAGTGTTTTTATATGTGCTGAACAGTAAGCAGACAAAAACTTTACAACAAAATAAAATGAATTTAAAGGTGAAAAACAAGAAGTGACATTTGCTAATAATTTAAATAAAAACAACAAATATAAAACTTAGTTAATCTCGTTTCATTTACCTTCTCTGTTATCCAGCTCCTCAGCAGCTGCCTCACAGGAGGCCATCTTCATCACCATCATCCCTGCTGCATCAACTCCCTGCTGGGAATTTCTGCTCAAAGGGACAGAAATACAATAATGAGCCACAACATAAACTATCATTGCTATAGCCAGTGCCACTAGAGGCACAACAACACAGAGTATTGGGCCAAACAAGCCAAAGACAATCATCTATCTACAACGGAGAAGAACTGAAAGTGTTTCCATGGCACTGAATCAAAGAGAGTTTAAAATCTGTTCAATGGACAAGAGATGCAAAGAATCACACAGAGACAAAGCAGATGGAGAGAAACTGACTCGATCCTCATTCCCAGGCTGCACGTGTGGGCTGAGGACACAATACTGAGCAGTGTTGTCACTTCCCTCCACCCAGAGCCCCTCTAACAGATTCTGATTAACATAAAGCATACCAAAAACAGAGAAAATCAGCACAGAGAGCCCACTGGACATGACTGCAAAATGCACACAAAAACACACAACCGTTCTATCTTTGTAAAAAAAATAAATTAGGCTCCTACCTTTCCCTCACTCACTCAGAACCAGAGACTTAAACAGTCTGTCCTCAGTATGTCACATGGTGAGTTTATTAAGGATGGGGTCTATTGTGTGCAAACACACACAGAGGGATGAACAGGGGAGGGTCACAGATCCCAAAGAGGGGGCGGGTCATTGTGATTATAAAGTGGGGCAAAATGAGCACAATACTGCAACTGCTGATGGGGAATAATTACTGTGCTGTGGAGACAAACACAACTGCACATGTATTTGCACTCCTCACTTGGCCATTAAGCACCAAGGTTTGTGTCTGAGGTGAGCTATTTCAGTAACATTCTCATCTTGTCCACATCTCAACTATTGGCAGAAGAGTTTTATGGGACAGTTTGGTCAAAGAAAATTAGATTTTTATTGCAGGAGTGGGCAAGTGAATGTTTAAGATGAAACTGAAAAAGTGCAAATGTGTCCTGYAAGACAAAAGCTCTGATCCATTGACCCCTAAATGCCAAGCAGTGACAGGAAATGACCTCAGGTGTATCATTTGTTTATGTTTACTTTTTTATAAAGACCAGTTTAAAACAAAAACTTAAACCTGTGATATTTTTTTCTTGATATAATAAAAATTAGAAGGAGCTTCAGGATTTAACACAGTTTTATATAAATCTGTGCTTCCTAACAATTTTGCCTGTTTTAATGTTTRAAATTTAAGCATATTTAACCCTTAAAGATTTACATTTAAAATACAAAGAAAACATAAATAATCCTACTTTACTTTTAGGAAGAGCAGCCAAAAAAGGTGTCCTAACAGAAGTATAGAATTTATATAAAAAAGGCTTAAAAAGTAGAAGTGGATTTAAAGACTCTAGCAACATTTCATGAGTAAATCCAAAAAATTGTAAACATTTATTTATTGTTGAGTAAAACTGAGAAAGAGGAAAAATCTGACCTTGATAAGTGAAAGTGAACATATTCCTCCGACACATATCGTGCATGGTCTTCTGTCTTGGGRTGAGAATCTGATTGGTAGAAGTGTTCTCCATCATACTGATAATGAACAGATCCTGCATCATAGTGACTCTGTTCATCGACTCGATGCTCAGAGTACTGGNACATGCACGCCGAGTCATCCACATAGGAGCTTTCAGCTGCATACTGACAATTTCCCCGTGCATCGTCCAGGCTGTGATCAACTCCAGTTTCAAACTGGTTCTCACTTTGTTTAGATCCAAAATGTTTAGCTAAGGCATCAGTTGTGAACTCGGCATACACTTCTGTGGCGTTCTGCTGCCGATTCTCAGGTTTGGTTTCTGCGCAGGCTTGAGAGGTGCTCTGGTTTTCAGTTCTTTGGTCGATGTGGTGGAAGTTGTAGCCGTACTTGGTTTGACCCTGAGTTGTGTTCGGACTTCCCGCCGACTGGAATGCAGCATTTTCACAGGTTGGCTGAGACGACAGCTGGGACATTACATCTTGGTGTCTTCTGTTACAAGAACAAGGAATCTCGGATCAGTGCAAATTCATGGAACACCATTGAATATACAGCTAACTCAAACACAGGCCAACCCGAACATAAATCTAACATTTTACACTCAAAATATGAAACTGTCTTTGTGAAGCTTATTCAAATACTTTAATTTATTATAATAAAAAAACTCATGTTTATTAATGATGGCAACATACTACTGATAAAAGATTCTGAATGCAGATTTGATGTTAATCACCTGGGGACTAATTCAAATATTCAGTTTAAACATAGTCACCTAAAAAAACAAAACACCAACCATTTTTCCAGAGAATCCTTGTCTGTTCTCCACAAATGCAGGGACATACATGCATCAAAAAACTTACAAAATTATGTCAGCAATTCACAGAGACACAAATGAACACAGGAACGTCAGTGAAAAAGCTCTAGCTCCACTAGAGAGAAAACATCTGGCTCTCATTTCTCTATTTTGAGATTGGTTTTATCCAAACTTATAGCACGTCTTGCATGGATCTCATTATAACATCTTATTGGATCCTTAAATTACTAAGAACTAGAGGCGAAACATGAGAAGTTCTCTAAAAGTGTGAGCAAAGATGGTTTTGCTCTTTTGACAGAGTTGTTAAATAGACATGTACCATTCACTCAGTAAAAACGTACACTGTATCTTTACTAATGCTAAATAAAAATCATGTAAATAAGTTTTTCTAAGGGTAACATTACCAATACAAACAGTCACAAAGCTGCATTCACACACCAACACCTTGTTAGAAAGCTGGGAGGGGCTGTTCCCATTAGTTGTGGAGGGACTCCAGCTGTAATGAGGCAGGTAATGCATATTTAATGAGGCGTAAACAAATTCATAAGAACACACACAGAGCTGCAGATCAAATCTTGTCACTGAACACACACCGAGCACACTCGTGTGTATAGGCAGCTTGTTTCCTGCTCACACAGACACAGTCACGCACTCTTGTCTGGTCACAGGACACACAGCGTCCATTCATTCTGTTTTGTGTGTGTGTGTGTGTGTGTGTGTGTGTGTGTTTGTTAGTAGTATCACACGCACACAGATCACCAGACTAATTTGTCAGAGGAAGCCACCAGCTCAGTTCTGACAATCTACTCTGTAATGCTAATGTTCTTCTGACAGACTGAGAAAACAAAACCCCAGTGGACAACTTGGAGAATGGAAGGGAGGTGTGAACAGTGTGTAGTAAAAGGTACATGTTTGGATCAAAGTCCTCGTTCACTATTACCAGCCTAAAAAGGTATTATATTAGGAAATGTACTAGGAAGCCACTTAGGCATCACAAAGACCCATTCAAACAGCAGGATTTAAATTCTGTTGTCACTTACCTTAAAACAGGTGAATAAACATCTTCAGAAACTTTGYAATCCCCACTCTCTCTGTCAATAGACCATTTATCTGTCTTCAGACGTTGTGGAGAACAGTAGTCCTCCCTGTTGAGTAGAAACTTGTCCTCCTCTGACTCAAATGTGTGTAAATCTGTTTGTTGAAATGAGGAACCTGCAATCAGGTCCTCACTAAAACTCAGCAGGTCAGAAGATCCAAGCTCGTGTCTTTCTTCCMGTTCTCCGTGTTCTTCTCGAGTCCATTTTGGCAGGGTGGATTGGTCTGAATCGAGATCTTCATCCTGCTCCTCTTCCATTAAATCTCCAGAAAACGGCAAGCCGAGTCTTTTGTCAGTGGAGATGGACAGCTCGTTTGCAGGAGAGCCGATCAGAGAGCTGCTGGGAGAGACTGAACTGTTAGTGAGAACAGGAGACTCTGTTTCCTGCCTCACTAACTGACTGCCCCACACTTGGAAGTCGCCCAAGGAGGTAGCACTTGGCGGAGGTGCAGATGGTGACTCCCCACCTTCGTCTGAGTCCTCCATTGAGATCTGTGAGCGTACATAAACTTCCTCTCTGGTTTTCAGAAAGTGATCCGATGGGTATCTTAACGATGGAGACACACTTCGGGCCACAGTGCTCGACTCAGTTTTGTTCTCTTCTTCTTCTGTTGGTCTACAATCTGATGGACTGAAAGCTTCAGAGTTAGTTTTTGATTGGCTCGGACTGATCATTTCTGGCACCAGCTGTTGCTGACTATCTTGATGTGTATTCTCCATGTGATCTTGATGTGCTGTTTGGGCGTGAGTTTTTAACACTGTGGCAGCATAAGACAGTATGCTGAATGTCTCCATGGATTTTCTTGTTCCTTTTGCCTGCTTGTCATCCTGTGTGAGTCTAACAGACCACTCTCTGTTGACTTCTTTGACTGTGCCAGGCCCAATGTTTTCCATTTCTAATCCTGAAAATAAACTTTCATCAGAATTAGATGTTCTTCCTCCTGGGATGTAGTTCAAAGACAAATTGTCTGATATTTTCCCTTCCGTGTCTTTTTTGCTTTCTTTACCATCACACTCTTGGGTTTCAAAAGCCGGCACATCTTCACTGTGGGGTATTTTGATGGGCAAGTGTAAATGTAATGACAAAGCTGCCTCTGAGTCACTGTGTTTCTCTGAGACATGGCTGTCCCAATTGTCACAGCTTAGAGATATGGAATGGTTTGTCTGGATTTCAGCAGCTCCTCCGCGACTTTCTGAATCTAGAGCGAAAGTCGAGGTGTCTACCAGAACAAACGGAGAATGCTCACTGGATTGTGCCATCCAGTCAGCCTCCTCTGATTCGTCTGTGTTTGTGTTTTTGGTCTTAATGTCAACTGGACTTTCTCCACTTTTTGGCAGCGAACCAAACTCTTTATCAAATAGGAACACTTGGTTTGCTGTCTGGTTTATATCTGAAATAGTCGTCCTTTTAGGAATATCAGCATTCTGGCTCAGATTCTGCCTTTCATCACTCGGCATATGTTTGGACACAGCTATAAAAGGGCTGGACTGCTCCTCTAACTGTATCATGTCTATTACTGGGCTCGCACAGTTGTCAGGGGATGACATTTGACTCCACTCTCCATGTCCTAAATTGTCATATTCAGAGGTGGACGTGACCATGCCATGGATGGGCAATTCCCACAGAGCAGTACTTTGGTGAAGTGAAGTCTCATCTTCTGAATGTTTGGATGGAGAGTCACTAAGTACCTCTGAATACTTACTCTGAGAAAATTGAATGTCTTTACTACTCGTTTCTTTACCCTGTGTTTCACTGTCAACTGTCTCTATGACTATTTTCACTTTGTGCTCATTACCTCTGCATTCAACCTCTTCAGGTGCATCATTCTCACCTTTACTACCACTATCATCTTCTGAAACTTTATCTTCTTCTGTCTGTTTGCTTGGATGTGTTTCAAGAGAATCATCCAATGATCCCTCATGACCAAGGTCTTTTTGATTTTCAGGCCCTTCGGGGGTTGTTAAGGGGGAAGAGCTGTCCTCCTGGATGGTGGTGTTCCACATCTGCATTCCACCATCTGAGTATCCTAGCGGACTTTCTACAGAGGTGTCTCTTTTAATATTGGGGTTCAGCCCATAGAATGAACCATAGTTTTCTGACAGATTGTCAGGGGTTGTCAGAGGTGAGAGACTGTCATCCCTAATTGTCATATTCCACATATCCAGTGACTCGGGGTAAGAAGGGGTGGTTCCGCTATCCAACTTGAGCAATCCCTGCTGGGCTGAGTATGTCCAAAAATCTAACAGCTCCAAATGTTGGTCTTCCTTTTTACTTTGGACACTGTCGTCCTCTTCTTTAGATGGATCTGGTGTTRAAGGGTTTAGGATGGTTTTCCGCTTTTTCAGAGATGACGTTCTGTCTTCTTCTGCTTTGTTTTTTACAGTTACTCCATCTTCTGGGGGTGTTAACTGAAGATCGGCCAAAGTCACGGGTTTCCACTGATCCTGGAGAACAATACCTGGGTTCCAGTTCTCACATGTTTCAGTTTGATCAGCAACCAAACTAAGCTGAGGTTCAAGCCTCTTAACCCTTTGATGGTCAGCCTCTGGCTTTGAAATTTGGTCTCTGCCATCTCCTTCTGTGAAATATGAATCATTTCTTGTAGTTTCACATTCAATAATTTGAGGGCTCCCTGAACTTTTGGACCGATTTAAGGTATTATCAGCCGAGGACATTGTTCCGTGTGTGTCAAAGCAAAGTTCATCCCAGGTCTCTGATAAAGACGATGACATGCTGTCTTTGTGCTGTAGGACATTGATCCTTTCAACGACATCTTCTGGGAAGAACCTGATACCACAGCTGCTTGGTGGACGACTACCTACCAAGCTATTGACAGGAGTTGGAGGAACCATCGTCTCCATCATCTCATTCCCATGGATTGTGCCTTGGTGATCAACCGACGACCGCCCACTTTCAAGCCCTCCTAATGAGTTAGGAGCAGAGAAATCTATCAAGCTTAGCTCGTCGAGTTCTGATAGACTCGAGCTTCCAGCTCTTCTGTCACCTTCATCTCCTCCACCTTGAGAATTTACCAGCTCCCCTCCTGCTGGCAGAGGCTGGTCGCTGCTATGAAGTGGGTCAAAATTAAACAGATTAATGTTGTCATTTCTATTCCTGTTAGAGCGGTGCTTCCTCCTCTCAGGTGGGACGGGAGGAGAAAGTGATAAAAAGCTTAGGGGAGATGGGTTTCTCAGTCCTCCTGGTCCTGCTGCTGGACCTCCACTTGCTGTGATCTCACCAAGAGGACTGTCATCACTCAGGAACACTGAGCTCTCTTTTGAGGACCGACTGCTGCGGATGGTGGTCATGCCGCTGTCGGGACTTAATATTTCCCCACCAGCATTAACTCCTCCGGTGTCTTCTTCACGCTCTCCCATCACCCTAATTTGCAAAAAGTAAACAATTTGTTAAACTGTCAATTTATCTAAAATCATAACAACTTGGTCTTTTTTCACAGGCACTTATTAAACCATTTCATACCTTGCTACTGCCACCACACTTCCGATACCTCCCTCAACTCTTTCGATGTCAGAACCATCCATGTCGTTGATGCCGGACGACCCCTGGGAGAACTCCACGCTGCCGGCTACTCCCTCTGTGGAAGAAGTCCTGCTGCTGGGGTGGCACGCTAATAGCGAGCTCCGACGGTCAGTAAAGTTCTTAAGAAGGTCCTGTATTTCTTCTTCTAACAGAGGAAGAGTTCCCGAGAATTCAGACGTGTTTATTGGAATGTGGTAGACTTGGAGACTGCCCGTGTCCTCCAGTTCGCCAGAGAGAGCCCAGCTGGAGGACTCCTCCAACTCAGCACAGATCTGTAATGAGAGTAACTTCATCTTTGATGTTTTTGCTTGGTCTATTTTTTTTCAAACAACATTATTGGCAGAGTGCATTACCAGAAATGAACGGTATTAAACTTCTAAACAGAATCTAATGACCAATATTACAAAACATCATCTCATTCAGCCTTGCCAACCAACATTTTCAGCTTTTTACTGTCATTTTTTTGTATTTTATCAAAGGAAGTATTTAACTATTATCAAATGCCTCACGAACCACAAAACAAAATCATAATGAAACTTCCAGAAAGTTATCCTTGGATGCACAATCCAACTGAAAATGGCCACCACAGCTAATTGACCAACACACAAATGGCTATTTATTAGTCAATTTAACAGAAATTGCTAAATTTTTATGTGATAGTGGCTGAGAGTCGTTTGCAACACAAACCCTGAGCATGACATGCACTGTAAAAAATGAAATGTTGGATTTACTTAACCATGTTATGTGACCCCGTTCCACTTAACTGAGTTGAGTAAATTCAAAGCAATATACCAGTTTTTTAACCAAAGAACATGAGTATGTTGCTTTGAATTTACTCAACTCAGTTAAGTGGAACGGGGTCACATAACATGGTTAAGTAAATCCAACATTTCATTTTTAGAGTGCATGACATTGTATAAAATATTATTTTCAAAGTTTGATCAAAACAACTAAAACGTCATCACTTCTTACTTTAAAAATAGTCTTAAACTCTGGCATGAAAAGTGTTGGGCAATATACATTTCTTCAAAAAATTTTATGATATTTTTTATTCAAATTAGTAGGAAAAATAGAAACTAAAACCAATCTAAAGAGACATTTCTAAGATTTGATTTATCTAAGCGACTCACTGATACAAATCTGTCTCCTTCACAGAGGTGTACAGATGTTTGGTTTGATGCTCTGTCAGCTGATTTTACCTGGTTCAACATATCTGTGTTGTTTGAGTAAACTGCCACCTGCTGGCGAGGATGATGAACTGAATCACTGATAGACAAGAGAACAACAAGTCCGTCGTAGCCGTGCTGATGACAGAAGGATTTCAGGCCCTCCACATAATTCTGCCAATCCTGAATGTCAGGAGGGAAAAAAGAGAACAAACATTACCTTTTATCACTTGCCAGTATCAGTAAATATTTCCAGACATTTTGCTTACATTTGTTTCTAACCTTGTGCCTTTTATTGCACGTACAATTGAATCGAATTTAGAAAAAGTGGTTTCAAGTGAGTCTTCTTCTGWAGTAATGAGATACAAAGCTGTCAAAGTGCACAGAGGGGTAGAAGACACTTTGTGATTTATTGTTTGGAAATTAACTGTTTGCTCTTAAAACAGCCACCATGCACAGATTATGGTAATTCAGTGACACGCACGGTGATTGATGGATAGAAACTTGCATTAATTAATTGTTCTGTTTGTCAAGGGAACTCATTTTTTTCTCTAAAATGATTAACAACAGTGTTATTGCAGCCATAATTTGCCACGCAGTGATATGCATAAACTGTGCAAAATGATAACTTTTGAAAAACATATTTGCTTGATTTCTCTTGATCGACTGTACAACTGTTTGCTTTGGGAAGTTTTTTGAAAATTGTTGAGTGTATTTAAGTTGAACTTTCATGGTAAAAGAGATACATTTAGAGAAAAACAAACAGAGTTTGCCTTTTTAAATGTTGTCTGCACTTGTGACAAAACAAGTTGTGTGCTCACCTCAACAGTCCAATTATGTTTAAACATTTGTTTCTGCTTTCATTCTGCAAAGTTTTTACAGTGTGTGTGTGTGTGGTCCTTCTCACAACTTAAATGCAAGTGTGTGTGTTTGTATAGGTCTACTGAAAGTGATTGATGAGAGCTTCAGGCGCTGTATCTGCCCAGGCTGTGTCAATATTAACCTGCAAGGATGAGGGGGCTACAATTCTCCTCCCCATGTTCTCCCCCCCTCCATTCTGCCTGCATCCTTCTCTCACCACAATATGGCTGTTGTCAGACTCAGGGACATCAATCCTTACACACACATACACAAGCACACACAACTGTCACTTCCCTGACACTGCCATTTCTCACCACAGATATCCTGATGAGTCCAATGAAGCCTCCCAACATTCAATAAAACACACACATTCACTCACATGGGCACGAACGGCACAAGTAAAAACACATGTAACACATGGAGCTCTCCAGATTAATCCACCTGCAGTTAGCTTCTGTAATTCAAGCTCGTGAGCAAACATGTACACATAAAAAAAGCCATTAAAGCAATAAAGTCTCAAATGTTTTTTTTTTTTTTTTTTTTGCTGCATTCTAAGCAGAAATGTTGGGATGATGCTGGTGTTTTTTAAAGCTACCACCCGACTGTGTGCATAAGAACACAATGCTACACACACGAAAGAGGGGGGAAATGTAGTCGGAAAACGAGCAGAGTGCGAATCTCGGCGATGACACGCAGCGCGACAGTCTGTCTGCCATTTGGTTCTTAACTGAGTAAATTACTACTCATATTGCCGCCCCTCCTCTTTCTCCCTCTGCCACCCCCAGACACACAGATTGCCTTTTCTYATAAATTATCAACATGTTAGATTTAAAATCCACTTGCTAACTGTCTCCAGGAATATTAAGATCCGTGCACAGAAGCAAGTCTTTTTTTGTTGAACTTTGCAGAGACGGTGCAGAGTTTTCCTTCTTAAACTGTTAACTTTATTTCTCTTTTGTCAACTAACAAGTGAACTGACAGTAACACTGAAGCAAAAACTGAACATCCATTCATTGTACATCCCACAGATGGAGTCAGCAAAACAAAAACTGGAGATCACCATCACTTAATTTCAATCATAAAGCTGTGCCTTTTTTTAGTTTTGAAACTAAATGGAATCATTATCAGACACTTGGATGGCCTTAAAATTGATTTAATTCATTTTGCGCTTTTAAAAGCTGACAGTTTACACACACATAGGGACAAGCCCCTTTTCTGTGGTTTTGACACTCTTCAGTTCATTATGTCACACTTAAGCTAAAAAGAATAGTACAAGTTTAACAAGTGTAGGGAAAATGTTAAAAAATACTGAAATATGTTTTTGACTAATTTACAACAGACACAAATTGAAAAAAAAAAGCTACAAAAAAGTGTTAAAAATACTATTAGTTCAAATTTTGAGTTTTATTTGTGTGGATGTGCAAAAGCCACAGATTTTCATAAAATTTCATGTGAAGAGCTTGTAAAATAAAGTACTTTATAAAGGTTGGTGACTGACTTGAGAAAATCTTCAGATAAATGATAATAAAACATAATTGAATAGTTTGAAATGTTGGTTTTTGRTTAATTTTTAAGGCTCTTTGAAGCCCCTTTTGGTTATGATTTCCTTACTTTATGTTTTGCATTTATTTTTCAGCATGTTTCATAATTAAGTAGTTGAATATGTGTACATACTGTATATTTTTAGTACTAAAAATGCTTAAAACTACATTTAGACCTTGGTTTTAAAACACAAACATAAGTTATTATTGTTTTAGGTTGCTTTTTATCTATGCACTTGATCTGAAGGTGTCTGATAAAAAAAAAACCTTCAGCAGGGATTTACACACTTTTTATTGAGAGAAATGGTCCAAGAAAAGACCACAAAATTTCATTGGTTGCTTTTAAAGAACGCTGCAAGGAAAACTCATTTCTATGTTCCTGCTATGGTGTCAGAGGTGYGTTTCTGCTGTGCTGCAAAAGGGTTTTTCTTTTAACATCAACATTTTACTTTTCTTTAGACAAATCTTTAGACTTTTCAAAAAAAAGTCCCCTCACCTGCCTACTTGTTTTTCTCTCACACGTTGCCTATTCATGTCTTACTCACGCAGTTTGCARCTTCATCTTTCTCCCACACTGGGACCATCACACACAACACCGTGCACACACACACATGCACACACTTTTTCCGCTACTTCTCTCATTGGTTGCCTTTGCTCCACAGGTGGCAAGTCTTTAGCGGCTGCGTGCAGTTCTCCCAACCTGCCGTCATTATGCACAATAGCCTTAGGTACAAAACTCAGGCCTCATAACTCACGCCCTGCGTGCGTAAATTCCCGTGCAAACACAGTCAAAGCAAAAACACATTTCCTGCTGTCGCCAACATCTCTGGCAAAGAATTAATCAAGCGTTCATCCATTTAGGCTCTTTGCATACCCTTTCCGTCAGAACCCAGAATGCTAAGAGAGTTGCGAGTTCTTCTCAGGCGATCGTTTCGCCACCCTGATGAATCCATCAAGCGAGGTTTGATTTATACATCTGTCTGTGATCACAGCGGTACAGCTACAGTAAATGGGGTGGCAAGGAGCGAGCTGACACCACCCTGCTCAAACACGCACACATGCAAATGTGCACACACATGTGCAGCATATACCATTTGCCACACACACACACACACACAGTCATCACCTCCTGTTCATCCTCGTGCTCATACTCGCACGAGAGTATTACTGCTTATGAAGTTTTTGGAGACAAAAAAWAAATAAATAAAAGAGGGGAAGGAGGAGGAGGGTGGCAATAAAGTTTGCAGACAGAAACCTAAATGTCTTTCTGTCTGTCTGTCTCACATGGGGCCCCCTCCACGTGCTTCGTTCAATCAGCTCCAAGTGTGAGGATTTGGGGGGCCGAGATCCAAACACTGAGTCTATAAATGTTTTGCTTTGTTATTTGTTTGCCCTCAAAGCCCAAAGAAGCCACAGGGGGAAACCAGAAATGGCGGGGAAAAAGAACRAAAGCAGAGATGCTTTTTTCTTTAGGCGATGTGAGAAGGAAACATCAGAGGAACATTCGGAGGAAGCAGCGCTGTGTGCAGCACTTTTCTCCCAAAATGTCTTTAAAGTAATGCCGAGATTCTGTGGGTTGTTTAGTTGTAGCCAAACAAATAGATATCTTTAAACCGAAGCAATGGGATTTTATCACTGCATTGTGAAAAGCCTAAACAAACTACTACAGAATAAAGTCCAAATTTATAAATCAACATTATAAACTGAGATTTTTCAGTCTTTTTACAACTTGCAACATAAAAAAATTCAAGAAAAGTGCCTAATAAAAAAAACTAAAGAAATGGGGTGGAGGGGTGGCACCCTGGCTTCCTGGTCTTCAATCTTAGTCCCTGGGAGGCCCACCCTGCACCTGCTGTCTCCCAGTGCTGATCATCAGAAAGGCATTTAGTGAGTGCAGTGGCTGCGGGCCCCTTCATTAGTGAGCATAATTATTTGTGCAAGTGGCGCAGGGCAAAACTGGCCCTGCATAAACAAACAGAAGGGCCGGAGGACTATGAACAAACAACGCATTAGAAACAATCAAAGCTGCCAAAAAATAAAAATAAAAAAGACCCATCCTGAAATCTAAAACTGGAGATAATTTACAGGTGATCATTCAAGTTTTAACTGAATATGTCATCAGAATGAAAATCCAGTTATTTTGTTTTGATTTGATTTATTTGTTTTCTGGATTGCCTTGCAGAATTAAATGTAAATCTGACTGACAACACRAAACTGGACATTAAAGTTAGAAATCCGATTCAGTTTTTTAGCTGAACAAATATTTTGCTTAAACTAGGAAAGTTTTGAGTCAAATTATCTTTTAGGATGATGGGGCTTGGAAAGTTATRTTTGACCAGTAAGGATCCTATACTGCCATCTACAGGTGGATTTAGGTTGGACAGAATTCAACAATTACTTTAAAAAAAGGATTATATAAATGTACGTGAAAGGAGAAATTCCCCATAAAGGTTCCTCTGCCTCTTTGAGTAACTGCCAGAAAATGGATGGACAGAAATCCTGAGATGCACACAGTTATTATACAGATTAAGCACGGCGACACTCTGAGCAAAAGTTGATTAATATTGTTTAGTATGCAGAAAAAACAAACACCATTAAAATCGTTATTGGGTCTTGTTGGAACAGCAGATGAGTAAAAGTCAGAAATAAAACTTTATCCTTATATTAGCAGAGGAAAATAGGAGAGATTGAAAAAAAAAAGAACAAAAATCTTTGAGAACATATTGCAGTTCTTGGTTGTCCATATTAACAAGAGCAAAAACACATTATTCACATATTCATGGAAGGGTGTGCATGTTTGTGGCTGTGGGCTCCTGTCCTTCCCACAGTTCATCAACTCCACAGCATGAAGAGGCTTCATCCAACTGCAGCCTCATCTGCCAGCGCTAATTTTTGAGTTGTGAGGAGCTCGAACACATCCTCTGGTACGAAACATGGGAACACTGCGCTTTTAGGATGATCTGAGTGTCTCTGTGCAAGACACGGCATCTCCCTTAAGAAAAAAACACACTAATTTTAACCTACTCGTGTCACTCATTTGTGATGCTGCATAAAAAAATGTGCACCACAGATTTTAAGTTTTCTATCCTGTTGTGATGATAAGTTACAGAAACATAAATTCAACAGGTGTGATCCCAAAAGTTAGTGCGTAGGTACTCATGAGTTGTTCTAATTTCAGTTGATCTTAGTCTCATTTTCAACGTTTTTCACTCTACTAGAGTTATTTCAGGAGAGCAGCAGGGAACGGAGGTCAGCGCAAGGCTTGMTGGGACTTCTGGAACCATGTCCAACATTTGTACTTGGAGAGGAAGCATTAAAAAGCAAAACGATGCTGCCAACACACCATGTGACTTTATTAGTCTCCATCTGTATTAAAAATTCAGCTTAACTATTAGCAAAACTTGTTTTAGTCCAACATGTAAGATGATCTCCCTGATAAGTCTTTAATTTAAAACAAATAACTAAAATATATGAAACATTTTCAAAATAATAGTCTTCAGTTTTATTAATTTTAATATCTACCCACAATGTACGCCAGACAATAATGTCATCATTCTCGATGTGTCTGTTAGCAAAATATTTCATCATAAGCTACTGAACAAATTTTAATAAAACTCAGAATGTAACTTACACTGAGTGACTTTTACCTGATTCAACTTACAGCAACTTTAGCAAAAACAAAACCGGCTACAACAAAGCCATTTTTTCCACATATTTAGGTCAAATGTGGTAGCTGAGTCATCCCCAACACATAATCTGTGCATGAACGATATTTGTTCAAAACTCTTTCAATATATGTTAGTTTTATTTAAAAGTAAATCTACTATATATATATATATATGCGTGGAGAGAGAGTTGCACATAAGTGGTGCGCAGGTACGCATGCACGATCAAAAAAAGGAAAAGCGCACCAGATGGAATGTCATAAAGCGCACTTGCGTACCTAAGATTGTACCTGATTGTCTGTCAAAACAACAGCTAGCAGGGCTCTAGAGTGTGACCAGTTTGGTCGCAAATGCAATTTGATTTTAAATAAATAAATAAAAATAAAAAATTCAGCTGCACTGGTGTGAATGGATTGTWGTTCTGTGCTCACCAAGCTGACAGWGGGACCCTGACAGAAGGATTAAATGGACACTGCCTTTAACAAATCAGACGAAGTCCAGAGCCGTTTTATCCAATCAGAGCAGAGCAGGGCGGGACTTTCAGTGAGAGCAAGTTTGGTTGAAGCAGCGGGCTTTCTGTGATACTGCAGGGTCCCACTGTTCTTCTAATTAAACCACATTAACTCTAACAGAACATTTGTTTGCCCCATATTAAAGATAGATGATTCTCTNCGATATTTGTTCAAAACTCTTTCAATATATGTTAGTTTTATTTAAAAGTAAATCTACTATATATATATATATATGCGTGTGTGTGGAACTGAGTTGCTGATGAGAGAAAAATCAGTAAATTTTAGGATGAATCTAAAACCAAATAAATAGAACTTGAACATTTATTTTTGCAAAGCATAATACTTTTTAAGAAACTGAAAAAAAAATATTTGCGTGTACTAACTGAAGTGAAGCGCCTCTGAAGGAAGGGAACTCGTTTGATTTGTGCTTCCATTATAAAGCAGCCCCCAGACTGACTAATGTGTGTTTGTACAGTAAACAGAAATACATTCGTCAGCATATATGATGTGTCCATATCGTTACCCCACCAACCACAATCTTTTTCTTYCGCTAACTAGACAATCACTGCCACAAGTTTCTATTTTTTTCCCCCACCCAAAAAGCTAACGGAGTCCTCTTTAACTGCTGCCAAACACACACACACATACATACACAACCCGCTCTGACAAACACATAGCACATAAACCATTAAAGACTAATTGAATCTAATTTATTTAGTTTTCTGGAAAGAATCATTTAAGGCAGAACTTCCCTAAGCCCCCTCAATAAATGACTCTCATACCGTTTTACTCTCTTTTCAAACACAATTAAAATATAATATATAAATATATACACACTGCAAATGACATGCATATAAGGAGTTCATTTCGGAGCCTGATCTCAGGTCATTAGTAACCCACCATGACGCTGTGGAGTTGGGGTCCGCTGGCGACATGCAGGCCCCTGGCCATTTATTCTATATTAAGTCTTTAATGGGCCCCCTCTCTCTCTCCTTCGCTTCCTCTCGGTCTCCATCTCTCCCTCCTGACACGCAGCGTGTAGGCACAGCGCTGGTAAAATATGCACAGAAAGTCCAGTGCGCACACATGAGCAAAGCCATTCAAATGAATGGTTATTTATTCGCTAAACGAGGATCTGGGTGTTTAATGTTCCTTGGACGTTAGGTAGTTTTCTGGGGGAGGAAGAGCCATACCCCTACGGCTACAGACATCATTTATTTTACACATAGCCTAATACCGCACGCTAGGCAGCTGCTGAGAAAAATGGGCTTTGAGAAGGAGATATAAAAGAAATAATGAATGATTTTTCTTTTCCTTTCCCCTGGTTTTGTGTGTATGTGGAGGAGGGGGGGTGRGTGAACACATTAGAGGATGCAGCAGGGAAAAAAAAGGACGGGGTAAACTTAAAAGCTTAAACCGCCTGTTTATGAGTTTGTGCGTGTGTGCGTGTGAGCGTGCAACAGCGAATGTGAAGAAGCGAGTGACAGCCAGAGAAGTCAACACGAACGTCGCACCAACGTGTGTGAAAATGAGAGCGTGTTTCAGTGCGGTTGTTGGGTTTTTTTTTTCAGATACCAGCGGGGAGGATGGTGATACATGGCTGTGTCGGAGGCTTTTGGGCCTCCATCTACATCTCATCCAAATTCAGAACCTCGCAACTTCAGAGGGACTCCTTCCCGCTACGCAAAAACACCTCCGAAATGTGACACTGTGCAGGTGTGATGCAACCAAACCATTTAAAACCATCAAAAGTAACTTTTCAGGAAGAAAAATGATTCTCACTTCCGTCGAAATCCATTTGTCTACTAGAAGACAGCACAAGTCATTATCAACTTCTAGAGAAAGTGGATGGCATTATATTCTGATACAGTCGGCATAATTTATTAAAAACATTTGGACTAATGAGGCTTTGAAATATAATAACTCCATTACATTTTTTTGCCTTAAAGCAACAGTTCAGAACTTTTGAAGTGGGATTCTGTGGAATAATTATGAACAAATAATATGTTACCTGTTGAAGACAGTGCTATGAAAAAGCTCAATTAGGAGAAACAGAAGTTAATTTTGATTGGACTGTGCTAACAGCCAAGACTAAGAAATGTGAAATCCACTTTAACATAAAAGTTTTGACGTCCAGACTTTTAAAATTGCTGATCTAAACTATCACTTTAATGCAAATATAAACTGTGGATTCTTTAGTTTTAATTATCAACCCCTTTGAATATTATAAAGGATTGTATTCAGTGATATAATATCTTACCGTAGCATAAAGGTTTGACACAAAGCTCAAACATTTCAAAATGAACGTAATAGACAAAGAACCTACCTCTTTATCAGTGGTCAGTGAGATGAGGGCGATGGTCATCTCTCCATCAGAAAACTCCTTCAGCTCCGTCGCCAGCAGCTGCATTAAGTCTACATCCAGTCAGTACACACAAACAGACTAACAGTTACACAAAAACACACACAAAAAGGCATACAAAACAATTTCACAACAGACAGAGAAAAACACGAGCATGAGTACTCTCTGGGTGGCACGGCTGAGCAGTGGTCTCTCAGCGAGAAGGTCGCAGCTTCGCCTTCTGTGTCCTCCCACAGACCAAAAACATGTTGGGTAAACTGGTAACTAACCGTCCCTAGGTGTGTGTAAAACTGTGAGTGGTTGTCTTGCTTGTCTCTTTGTGTCTCTGTGATGGACTGGAGACCTGTCCAAAATGTAACTTTTCCCCTTTTACACAAAACCAAAGATCTTTTTAAATATTAAAAAATCTAATAAATGACAGATTATGCTGCTTCTAAGCRTCATTTGTGTTCATGTTGTTTTATACATCTGGATGCTGTTAGAGAGGACATGGAGGATGAAGATGAAGAGGAAAGAGTGAGATGAAGGAAGATAATTCATTGTGGCGACCCTGAAAGAAGAAGAAGATGCTGCTGACCTGTGACCTTCTGTTATCGACGAGTGAATTGTTCCACCATGTTTTGTTGTTTAGCGCTGGACACCTTTTCTAGCCTTTATTATCCCAGTTCCAAACTTTTTTGCATTCAAATCAAAATAAGCAAAAAGTTTGTCTTTTTTTCGTAGCTCCTCCGAACGACAAGAACCTCATTCATACGGCCTAAATGCATCCACTCATTTAGCATCCCTGCCTCGCTTGCACACATATAATTTTGCGTCTGCAGAGTGTGTATTTAAAGCCCGCCTATGTTGCAGAAACGCACCTTGTTGCCTCCCTTCTGCCCATTGCTCCACGGTTCTCACGAGGTCCTCCAGCTCGTCGGAGCGACAGCCGCGTTCGATCCACAAGGCTTCTCTTTGCAGTCGCAAGGCCTCTGGAGAGACRAACACAAAGAGCTCCAGTCAATAACTGCATCTGGCTCTGATTTACACAGCGAGTTCAGTGTAGGTTCAAAAATAACACACTGATGAGACTGTTTTACACACCCGACCTGTGTGCGAAGGGCAAGTCATCAGCTCCAAGCTGAACGGAATCCAATACGAAATACTTGCATGAATATCAGAACATGACGGTAAATAGTTAAATTGTTTCACTTACATCTAATGATTTCTTTTTGCACAGAGATGATTTGGTCCACAAATAACTAGAGACTAACTTTAAATGTAAAAGAAGGGACTTTCTAAGCTCTATTTTAGCCACATTCACCCCTCATCTCTCTTCGTCCTGCATCTCTCCAGGTGGGTGTTAAGCGAGTCATGTCAGAGGATTTGTGTGTGTGTGTGTGTGTCTCCCTTCATTGCCCCATTACTCCTCCTGGAGGGGAGGGGGTGGTGGGGGGAGACTGTGCCTCCCTCACCTCCAAGAGCCTCCCCCAGCGCAGCTCTGCTCTGCTCCGCTGCCTCTTGAAGAATCTCTCTGGCGACGGTCGTCAGCGCGGACAGTGCCCCATCAGCCTCCGCGCCCCGTGGCCCACGGCGGTGGACCACGTGCTGGACGCTGGACTCCAGAGTGCTGCGCTCAGAGCTGGGAGACAATAAAAATATGGTGAAGGGGATGCGGATGGCTGATCTGGAAGAAGTTTGCCGTTTCTGAGAGTTTTTATCAATTTACATTTTGTTTTTTTAGGTCACGAGACGCGCACAGGCCTGAAACATATTCACGTTTACAGGGACAGCGCAGCTGCGTTTTACCTGTCGAGCAGTCCATCCCTCAGGAGCGTGAGCAAAAGTTTCCCAGAACGATGAAGACTCACAAGGTCTACGTCCTCCTTCCAGAGCAGCAGGCTCTCACTAACTTTCACCCTCTGCAGATATCTCACCGTCTCGTCAGGCAACACGGTGCCACCGCGCTTCCTGCACAGCACTGGCACACACACTCCTTCTGAGGACTTCCTCTAGAACACACAAATAACATAACAAATAAAATCCATTTTCAATCACGTCTCAAAGACACAATACCATCGGGTGAATTAATTATTTTTAGAGACCAAAAAAAAAAAAAAAAAAAAACAACACAGAAAATACCTTTTAAAAGTTGCCCAAAAAGATGATAACAGCAAACAATTTTGAGTTTATACTGGAAAAAAATGCATTTTGATATAATTATTTAATAATTTAAAAATAATTGTATCATATATAAATTACAGTTCTAGTGTTATACATGTCATACAGGTCATACTTGGTTTTAAACTTAGATCAATACAACCTTAAAATCAATATCAGMACTTATTATATTATCAGCGTCGTCATCATCTTTATTATTATTATCATCATTACTATTAAACTAAACTGAGAAAAAACGCAGAAGCAGAAAGTGAAAAATAAATTTAATTCACCTGATGAGTTAATTTCTTATAAAAGCAACTGAAATAGAAATAAATTTAGCCCTGTTTGGATTTTAGATTGCACTTGTTTATAATATTAAATTTATTGTGGGTTTACAGACATTCATTTTAATCTACAACAATGCAGTCTGTATTTTATATGTTAAAGTGGACCAGCATTAAAGGTATTTACAGATATGGTTCTTTTATTCTGACTGGTTTAGGGTAAAACACACACCACACGCCTTTATACCATCTCCGAGTATTATTAAATAGGATTTATTTGTCAGATTAACTTAATGGGACACAGCTATATTTTTGCTCGTGAACTGGATCAAGTTTAAAAAAAAAAATAACCCAGCAGATTTTCATGTGTTTTCCAGTAAAAAGCACTTATACAGAGTGGTAATGTTACCTGGCTGAGGTGCAGTGCTAAGCACAGGGTTGCAGCCACAGTGTTAACATCAGGCTCTGGTCCACCTAAAACAGCATGGACAGGACCCTCGGATGGACCTGCCTGAAAGCACAAACACACACAAAGAAACTCAGCTCATGTGTTTATTTTATTGTAAACATAAATTAAAGAAATTGCTCTCTTTGTTTTCAAAAGTCAGCCGCGGGAAGCAGTTGACGGCACACGATTTGTGTTTGATCTGATCGCCGACACACACAGCCTAATGTTGAACCTCACTGAGCGAGCGCCACGATGTCAGATGACTGCAGCAGTTTCAAACCCTCACTATGAATTAATAATGAAACCATAGTGCTGCACGCTTTAGCTCATGTTTGACAAAGAATCTGCTTCAATACTGACTCCAAAATAAATAAATAAACAAATAAAAACTTTATACTGTAAGTTGACTACAAACTCAGCCAGCGGGAGATTTTGTTTTTCATTTTATTCTCTGAATGATTGATTAGCCAATCATTTCTCGTAACAACTGAACATAAAGTCCCTGTTTAGGTCAATAATAAATGTTTCACTGTATGGACTAAAAATATATCTTTGGTTAAAAAAAGATAATACAAGTTTGGCTGACATTCTTTAATAAGCCATAAAATTAAAAACACTGAAGTATCTAAACACAAAATTCTCATTGAAATAAAACAAGACGTGTTGATTGCCAAAAATGCTGTGAATTCAGTTTAAACACTTTCACAATATTTAGCAAAAGCTTTCAATATAACCATTTATTTTACAATTACTGAAATAAACAAACAGATTAGTTTAAAACCCTTTACTCATCAAAAGCTTGCAGGAGTCTTTATCTGGTATCGGTCAGAAATTGAAGCCTATATAACATTAATCATTAAGCAAAATGTGGATCCAAGAAAATCACTTGGAGCACRTAGTTGTGATTTTCTCCATGAATCAATAATTTTTTATATATGGTTTATTTCTGCATATTTTCTGCATGTGTTTTGCTTCTTAGCGATGAATGTTGTTACCTGTCCCGCACGGCGGTTTCAGTTTTCAATATTTCATCCTCAGCTGCCCTCTTCTCACACATCCTGTTTTCACTCACTAATCAGACCCTCCCAGCAGATATAAGCTACTTATTTGCACCAAATCTTTGTCAAAACTCTGTAGGCAAGTCCTGATTATGGATTCTCTAAAAAAAGTTGTAAACAATTAATATCTTACTTGCTGTACATGGCTCCTAAAAGACCTCAGTTTAAAGATACGCCATTTCAAAAAAATAAATAAATAAACGTGAACTATCTCTTTAAAGCTTGAGAATTTGTCACAATTAGTCAAATCTGAATTAGTCAACTGGATGAGATGACTCAAAGTGAGTGAAGGGATCATGAGAGAGAACAGAGGAGAGGTTAGTGGCTATAAGGGCTGGAAATGAGAAAGAAGGAGGCAAAGATGGAAAATGGAGGAAAGAGGGGGAAATACTTAAGGTGCTTATCGAAAAAGTGTGTCTGTGTGGAGCGGGGGGGATAAAAGGGGTATAGGTCAGAAGGAAGCGTGGAGGTGAGCGGGAGAAATGTGATAGTGGGAAACTTTAAAGAGAAGAGAAGAAATAAGTGATAAGCAGAAGAAATGAAATAAAAACAGCGAGCGAGGTCACAGGGGGATTTAAGGAGGAGAGGGGAAAAAAACGGCAAAGGTGTGCGAGAACGAGAGGGATAGTGTGATCGAGGAAGGGATGTTCCTTCATGTGAGGGAAGCTAAATCAATACTGGATGGTCAGAAGAGGAAGTGAAGCATTAGCAGAGAAAAGGCCAGTGTGTGTTCCATTGCAACAGGAGAACACTGAGTGTGTGTGTGTGTGTGTGTGTGTGTGTGTGTGTGTGTGTGTGTGTGTG